TGTGAATCATACGATTATAGATTTTATAACAGCATGAGGTAACTGATAAATAGCACAGAGGTAGGGATGCCTTTTTTTTTTTTTAAGATGACCAGTAAGAGGATCTTAACCCTTGGCTTGGTGTTGTCAGCACCACACTCTCTCGAGTGAGCTAACCGGCCATCCCTATATGGGATCCGAACCCGTGGCCTTGGTGTTATCAGCACCACACTCTCCTGAGTGAGCCACGGGCCGGCCCCAGGGATGCCTTTCTGATGTAGAAATTTGTTGGTGGTTTCATTTTGTACAATCTAATGGGCCAAATGAATGAAGAAGGAGAGAAAAATGTTATGTATGCAGTGATATCCAGTAGTTTTCTACATAGGCTCAGCATACCTTACAAAACACTTTTTGAGGCATTCTGGATGAGTTGAACTTCACGAAGACAGTGATAATAATAATGATTATTTATAGAGTAATTACTGTATGCTAGGCTTCATGTGTACGAAGGTACTTCAAAAAGTTCATGGAAAGATTCCTACTATCTTTTAATTCTGTTTTTCCATGAACATTTTGAAGTACCATTGTATTATCTCATTCATCCTCATGACTACCTTAAGAAGTGTAGGTAGTTTGGTTATCCCCAGTCTATTTATTTATTTATTTCTACTTCTTTTAAAAAATTATTTTTTTATTTTAACTTCTTAATATACATTATAGTTAATTTTCATGTCCCTTTACTTGTTCTTCTTTCCTCCCTCCCCCCTTCTGCATCATATCTTCACTTGTCTTAACAAGTTCAAGGAATTGTTGTGATTGTTGTGTCTTCTTCCCTCCCCCCACCCTTTATTTGTTTGTATATTTATTTATTAGCTCCCACAAATAAGTGAGAACATGTGATATTTCTCTTTCTGTGCCTGACTTGTTTCACTTAATATAATTTTCTCTAAGTGCATCCATGTTTGGATATCCCCAGTTTACAGACAAGGAAACTGAAGCACAGAGAGGTAAAATAACTTCTTCAAGGTCACACAGCACACAAGTGGCAGATCTTAGTCTAGGTCTGGAGATTGAGTCTTTAAGCCTCTTACTCTATGAAGGAGTATTGATCTGAAGAGTGTTTGTTTCAAAAGAATGATTATGGGTTTGCTTTGAGCCATCTACATCCTCTTGAAACATTAAGTAAATCATTTATTCACTGAGTCCCTGCTAATGCAAAGCACAGTACTAGACACTTAAGGATATACAGAGAAATGTAAGATTCATCCTTTCTTTTGAGTTGCTTGTACTTTAGTTAGGCTAATTAAATATAACCATATGACAAAATAATCAGTGTATAGTAAATACCAGGCAAAACCCAAAATACCTCAGAGAGGTCAAAAAGGGAAGCCCTTGTGGGTTAGAGCAGCCAGGGAGGGCTTTGTGGAAGCTCGAGAGCTGTAAACTGAAGGCTGGGCAGAATCTAGGAAGGGAAAGGCGCTGGGTTGACTGGATATGAGAACCGTGGTACTGTGCCTAGCACAGTACGTGACACTTAGGTGCTTGACTTTTTTTTTTATGAATTGGTGACTTTTAGAACTGGTATGGGAATGTAGCAGGAGGTCTGTTTGGAAAGTATGAAAATAGATGGTGGGGGACCTTAAATATCAAGAATGAGTCTTGTGGATTTCATTCTGAGGTTTGGATTCTCTCTTCTTCCATCCCCTGTAGCCAAAGGCATGCACTGTTTAATGTTAGCATTCAAACTGTGACCTCAAACAGTGAGGCTGAGATTATAGCCTCATTAGCTTCAAACACAACAGTGCCAGGCACATAGGCTGATATTTATGAAAGGCTTGCTCTCTGCTGGCTAATTTATTTTGTATTTATAAGACAACCCTATGAGTCGGATAGGATTATTATCATCTCCATTTTACAAACAAGGAAACTGAGACTCAATTTGGTTGATAATTTGAACAAAGTCTGGTAACTAATAAATGGTGGAGCTGGGACTCGAACCCAGGCAGATTGGCTAGAGTCTAGCCCATCAACTACTCCACTAGAGCCTCCTTCAGGGAGGAGACCCTTGGTGTGAAATGAATGAACCTCTTAGCTTGATTGATTAAATACCAGGTGATTAGTCACCAATGTGACATCCTGGAACCAGATTAAGCCCCTATGGCCTCAGAAGAGATGGATGTAGATCATTGGAGCAGAAGGACCCTCAAGTAATGGGCCATCTTTATTTGTATTCTTACTTTGCTAAAATGGCCTTGAAGCTCTAAATGAAAGGGAAGGTTAGAGTTCTTGGTAGCAGAAGGGGTGAAGTTGTAAGAGGCTTCCTCTAGGTGCATGGCCAGGGGAGGGGCAGCGCACAGCGGAGCACATTAAATGAGCCCAAGTTAGAATAATAGGAGCTTGCTTGTTCCAGCTCGGTGGGTTTGGCTGGGCCTTCAGTGAAAGCCTCTCTTTCCTTCTCTGCTTGTGGTGGAGGGTGAAGGAGGCAGGGGGCAGAAAGCCACATCCCAGAGTTAGTGGCTGTTTTGACAAAACTCATACTTTTCTTCCCTTCCTTGTTCCTTGGTTACTATATAGCATTGTGGGGAAGGAAGGC